AAAATATCTGAATCGATAAAGGTGGAAAGAGGAAGAAAGAAGAGACAATAAAATTTTTGAAGGAAGAATACTCTCTAGAAATGAAAGTAAGACGAACGAGAGAAAGGTAGTGAAGAGAGAAACAGATAAATGAATGAAAGAAACCGTAAGAAAAAAGAAAGATACGAACGAAGAAGGAAGAGGAAAGTATGAAGATAAGTTATAGACATAAGAATAGCTCGGTACTCGAAATAGAAGGTAGGAAAGAACAGAAAGAAAAAATAGGAAAGAAAGGACAGATAGTATAATATTAAAGTATATATAAAAGAACGAAAGATAAAAAAAGAAAAAAAAAAAATCGCGACAGTATCTCTTGATTGCACAAGTGATTAACCGGAAGCGATTTATTCCCCAGTGGTTCCTTCTCGCCTGGTCGTGGTGACCCGAGAGAACCGGCAGGTCACGGCGGGATTCCTCGGGCCGCTGACGGAGGGCGAGTCGCTGACGTTGTACTGCGTGGTCACTGGAGGTAAGTAAAGCCTGGTACTGCTGGTGCCCCTGCAAGCCCCCTCGTGCCTCTGGGCGCCTCTCTTCCCGTCGGCGCGGCTGCCTCTTCCGCGCTGCTTTAGGACTGTCTGTGTGTCTGTTCCCTTCATCTCTGCGCCTTGCCATTTGCCTCTGGGTTGTTGTGTATGAGTGCATGTCTGTATGTGTTAATATTTCCACGAACTCATCTAGTTAGGTGAGTGTAAATTCATTGAAAAAATAACCCTAGTACGAGGTACCCCTGATTTTTACTCTTCCCCTAAAAGTAAAATCTCTCGGCTTAAGAAAAAAACATCTTCATCTTCCCAATAACCCTTTTCAGAAAAGCAAATGCAAATAGATATAATACTCCAAGAAAGTCCCAGCAGTAACGCCTTTTCCTGCCCCGCCCTCAGGCCGGCCGACCCCGCACGTGACCTGGTGGCGCGGGATCCACCGCCTCAACAGCACGAGCGTCACCATAGGCTCGGGCACCACGCCCCTCGCCAGCCACGAGGTGGACGACCCCCTTATGACCCTGGGCATGGACCTGGGCATGGGCCTGGGTATCGGGCTGAACGACCGGCGCGTGCGAGCGGAGGTCTGGATCCCGTCGCTGACCCGAGACTTCGCGAGGGCCAACCTGACCTGCCGCGCCCACAACAACAACATCACGGAGCCGCTGTCGACGACCATCACGCTCGACCTGTACCGTGAGTCTGGCTCCTCCCCGGCGCAGCGCTCGGGGCTGGGTGTTTGGCTTTGAAGGATTTTACTCATCGTTATCATCATCATCATATTAATATTTATACTGTTAATTTGACTGTTATATCCGTTCTTCCTTCTGCTATCATAACCAGAGTTATAATTATCACAGACATAATGATTATTTTCCTGTTTATTTCGTCATCGGTAATCAAGGTTACACAAGGAGGGAGGGGAGGATACAGGAGGATAACTCACAAGAGCCACCTTTCCAAAAAGAAAACAAAACACACACACAAAAACAAATTTATCGAGCAATTGCAGAAACGTGACGTCATTAATTGTGCAGAAGCAGTTGCATGGAACAGCTAGCCTTGCAACACGTGCGGTGATTGCATACGCGTATGCTAGGAACAAAAAGGGAAATAAATCTTGGCTTTTGTCATTGCGAATTCGGGACTTTGTGGGGTATTCATCTTAATGTTGCACATCTTGCTGACCCTGATTGCACAAATGTTGATTTATCTTGCTGTGCTTTACCCGTCGACATTGCCCAGGAGACACTGATTCTTGGGAGATATTCTTAGAAAAAAAAAAATCCCAGAAAAAACATCAAATATATGGAATAGACAATCTAGAAAGTATAATTCATGAATTTGTCTATTTAAACAATCTAGCCTTTAATTTACTTCATTCCTACACTCGACGACATAGAGAACGTAAAATGGGGAAGTGTTATTTCATGTTTTTCTAATTCAAAACAGCGCATTAATATGGCAACTTAACAGCCCTGCTTTCATAATGCAATATAACTCACAGGCTGTGTCCGTCTATATAATGTGTCCTTCCTGAGGTCCCCAGCTGCGCGCTCTGTCGTTTTCGCTGGGCTGCCGCATTCCGGCTCAATTTTTGGTTATTAGAGTCATTGCCAATGTTGCTATATTAAACATGTTATTTTCAAATTATCATTCTTTGTCTTCTTATTTATATTTCTCTATTTCACCTTTTTCGTCTTCATCATCTTTCTTTTTTTCTTTTTCTTCCTTTCCTTCTTTATTTTTCTTCTTTTTCTTTTCTCCTTCTTCTGTTTCATCTTGTTCTTAATGTTTTCCTGTTCTTTTCTTCACCTATTCTTTTCATCTTCTTATATTTCATTCTCTTTTTCTTCTTCTTATACTTCATTTTCTTTTTCTTCTTCTAATGATGATGATTATTGTTGTTATGATTATGATTAATATTACGTACATCATCTACCGCCGTTTCGTTGCATTTGTTTTCAAAGAATCTGTTCTTATCTTCTCCCTAGCTTTAATAAACTGCTGTGTCATTCTTTGCCACAAAGTCGATTAATACTGCCAATTAGTAGAAAAAAAACAAACAAACAAAAAAAATGTCGCATCAACTAGACTTATTCATCCCTCAAACGATATGTAATTAATTTATCTTCCGTTTTGTCATTCTAAAATACATTCGTAGCCAATCTACCCCCTTGTAACAAACAAACAAACAAACAAACAGACATTCAAGCTAAAAACAACAATAGCGTGAATACGTCTCCCGCATTTGCTTAGTGCAGTACCTCCTACTAACAGCTTCATGGGCGATGTTATCAGGCCGCTAATCGTGAGCCATAAAGATACTGCTCTCGTCTCCCCGTGTCCTTGGTCCTCGCTCTTGTACATAAAAAACTATTCTTGTACACGTCGTATATAAGGTTTCGGTGTTCAGGTTTTCTACTTTTTAATATTTCTGTTCCAGAATTTCCGCTCAGATGTTTTTGTTTTTGAGTTTTCTGTTTAAGCGTTCTGTTAAAGTTTCCTTGTTTAAGCTTTCTGTTCAAAATTTCTGTCATCTTTTGAAGTTTTCTGTATATGTATTCTATGCCAGGTTTCTAAGTTTCTATTAAAGATGTTAAAGTTATCTGTTGAAGTGGCTTGTTCAAACTTGCTTTTCTAAGTTTTTGTTAACGTTTTCTACTTGTCTTCTGCTTAGGCTTTACGCTTTTTAGGTCCAAACCAGAGAGACAAATCGTTAACTACCAATGCGTAAACTCTCACCATTTATATACGTCAGCAAAAGAAATTAGAAGAAAAAAGATCCTCAACCTTCTCTCTTAGACTTGCTCTGAACTTCCTACCTGCCATTTGGGTAATATTTACCTTCTCGTACCTTTTCCTGCGCTGTTCCCCCTTGTACTTTGGCTCAGGCTGTGTGCGTTTACGAGCTCGCGCCACACGAGTGCAACCGTGTAAGGTTATGCAAGTTGCAGGAGCCATATCTTGAAGGCGACTCAAGGCGGAGGTTTGCGGTTGTGGCAGGGGGGGGGGGGGGGGGGGGGTCATCTTGGGTATGCAAATGAGGCTTAAGGAGATCTTTCCTTTATACGTATGAGTGTGCACTACATGCATGCGGTTTAGATATTGCACACACACACATACTATGTATAATATATATATTATATATATATATATATATATAATACTATATATATATATATATACACACACACACCACACAACACACACACACACACACAACACACACACACACACACACACACACACACACACACACACACACACACACACACACACACACACAACACACACACACAGACACACACACACACACACACACACACACACACACACACACATATATATATATATATATATATATAATATATATATATATATAATATATATATATATTATATATATATATATATTATATATATATATATTTATATAATATAATATATATATATATATATATATATATATATATATTATATATATATATATATATATGTGTGTGTGTGTGTGTGTGTGTGTGTGTGTGTGTGTGTG